AAGAATAGGTCTGATGGTTCTTCAGTGGAGAGCAGGTCTCGATCCGCGTCTGGCGATGGCCAAGGTGGGACCAATGAAAAAGGGATATCAGGCAGACATGGAGATTTAGCCAATGAGATGTGGAAAACAACACTTTTTGAGACATGAGATGATAATATTATATATATATAATATTTTGTATATAGGGTCTAAGCAACCGTGGGAACATAACAATTAGGGATTGGTTCTGTTTGACCCTGGTTGATCCGGATCTGAATTCCATGGGATTACCCCAAACCCACTGATAGAACTGGTATGATAAGACTGGATGATTACCCATCCCCAAATCATTATCGTAAAATTATGATCAATAATTACCACTGACTGATCATTATTTTACCACATTCTTTACAATAGACTGGGGGCATCCCATGGCATTCCCATTTTAAGACAAATCCATCAGATTCATCTACCTAGACCATCGGTTTGTACACACAACAACGGTGTCATCTTACGATGTTTTGGACGTTTGGATAATCGTTGGAGCCTGCTGTACGTCCTTCACCAGGATTGCGTTGGCGAATCCCAAGACCAAAAGAGATATGGAGTTCAGCATCATACCTGGTAGCGGTCCAGGAACCTTCAAAAAATGGTCAAAACCCTCCGGATCGGAAACGATCGTTCTCCATGTGTTTGGCGTTTTATGATTTATCATAGACCCTGGGAATAGCTGAATTTTGAGATGAGAGTATATAAAGTCTTCCAAGCCCTTATTTTGTGGGGTCTATGTTACAGTAGTTGGGGGAAAACAGATTTCTGTTTGCTACAAAACATCAGCTTCAAAAGAAGGTTATTTTTTCTGTTGATAAGCTGCACTAGAATCTCAAAGAGATTGGACACATTCCGCCTGGGGATTGAAGACTGGATCTCGCAACGTTTTTGGACCCCCTATACGGCCCCCTGCCATTTAGTGAGGTCCAATCTAGTCTGAACATCTAGCTTTGGTCATTTGATGTCATCCCTGTCCATCCAGGTCGCTAAACTATGTAGGCCTTTAGGCCTGCGCCCTGGTTCACTGAGGTGTCTTCAGCTTGGCCCGAAAGATATCCCCTTAGAAAAGTTGAGGCCACACCTCAAACATTCGGGAGAATAGTGAAACCGTGAAACCACATGGAAAAAAGGGCAAAAAACTGCGAAATCCTGTTTTTAGCTCATTTTCCGCAACCACCATTTTCTCATGAGTGCTCCCGCTGTATATTTGCGTGTTTCGAGGCCTTGAGTCATGTAGGTCCTTCAAACGGCCACGTTAAACTTCTCCTTTGGACCGGATCCCACCATGGAACCGTTAATCACCTTTCGCGGTGTCTGTTTCACTGGTAATCAACCAAGGTGTCTGGGAAATCCCGAAACTAATTCGTGGGCCAAGGGGACTCATGGAACCTCCAGGATTTTCCATGTTGGGAGGTTATGGTTTTCTCTTCCCAGCCAATGGCGATAAAAAAGGGTGATGGCGCTCTCCACACCCCTGCGACTCGGCCCGGGCCCGGAAAAAGCACCTGCCAAAAGATTTGGTTCGTTTGTCGGATGCGCAGGATGCGCACCTCAGATCGAAAGGGGATCGTTGAGAGACACATCTCTTCCTCCATGTTAGTAGGTTGACCATCAACAATTGGGATTTAACATGGTTTAAACATCTAAAAATGTGTGTGTGTAGCCAACAATTAAACTATCGATTGGGTGATTGATTGATGGGCAAATGGGTAGATGGCTGCATGATTAATGATTGATAGCCGGCAGTCTGAGTAGATGGGTGACTGATGGGTGCTTAATTGAACGACTATATCATCGGAAATATCCAGGAAAAGATACCTATCTAGAAGTATCCAAGAAATATCTAGACATGTCAAATTCTATCTAGAATTATCAAAGCATAGATGTTTTCAAAAGAATCATCACAATAACACCCACCAAGGCAGCATCATTACCAAGGAGTGGATACAAAACAGACCACGTGCTTGCTGAACATTGGCCGAGTTTGTGATTTTGCCTGCAACAAAAAACATTGAGAACAGGCAAGAGGTCGACCACTTCCCTTCTCCCAAGTTGTCCCCTCTTAAGGCCTTTTGGATGAAAAGAGCGGGTTCACAATTCTCATGTCAAAACTCTATGACCCAAGGGGGTCCACGGGGTTGAACAGTCTAGAAGTCTTCCTCGGAATCTATTCATCGTGCCACGTTGATGCACTTTCCATGTTGAGATAGGCCACCCCAAAACTTGATGATCAGTTACTATATGTTCCCATTAAATGACCAATTTAGGTGGTACCCTCTGGTAATGACTAACATAGCTATTGAAAATGGCTATAGAAATAGTGGGTTTTCCCATTAAAAATGGTGGATCTTTCCATAGTTTTGTGTATGTTTACCAGAGGGTATACCGTATATTTTCAGACCCATGTTGCATCCCACCGGACTTCAATCGGAAAAACTTCGCTCAGACCTTGCGATGAAAATTCAAACTGTTGCGAATCTCAAATATACCGCAGCCCAAAAACAACATGATATTCACTTGGGTAGCAAAATATTGTAGCTCAATACCCTCTGGTAAACTAACATAGCTATGGAAAATCACCATTTTTAATGGGAAAATACACTATAAATGGCCATTTTCAATAGCTATGTTAAATTACCAGAGGGTAAACCAATAATAAACCAACCATATTCCATATCTGGAAACCCTACCTTTCATTTTTGTTTAGACATTCTTTCGAGTTCCCAAATGGGATATCCAGACTACCTACCCAAGCGCTGCGCCCAGGGGCGGGATTTGATCGGTTTAGTTCGTGAATGACTTGAGCCAAGACATGCCAAGACCGAGAATGCGTCCAAAGAGATAGTAGTTAGATGGACATTCCAAGCGATTTTTGCGATTGCAAGAGGTTGCAAGGGATTTTTTTCATTTAAACTATCTAACACATCTGGTCAATGCAAATGATTTCAAGGCATCAGGCAGAAACGGGTCGTGATGATGCACACAGATGTGCCAAAGCCGCCAAGTCTGACCCGAAGAGTGGCTTTGCATGAAGCTTGTTTACTTGGTTCTTCAGCGTTACCATTTACAGTGTGCGAAACTCAAGCTTATAAAACATCCATTCACCAACCGTTTGGGGCTCAGCAAAAAATCCTTTTATATCATCCCTTAGGAGTATACCATAGTCCCAACATGTCCCAACAGACCTCAATCATTGGGTCCTGATCCTGCAGATCCCCATGAAATATCATGAAATCCCCACCCGTCTACCGCCTGCGCAGCTTGAGAGCATGGCCAGGAAGTAGACCCAACTCCTGCGGGATTCGGAGCCTGGTGGGCTCCACCAGGGGATGTCATAGTGTTTTTTTGGGATGTAACTCAGAAAATATGGAAATATGAGAGATAAGGTGTGATGATGTGCCGAAAAAAAGGGGTGTGAATATTCCATAGCTATGTTAAGCTACCATAGGGCAATTGTGGAAAAATACCCAGTTTATCCCATTCAAATATCTTATCATACCTTATCAGCCAAAATCAAGATGAAATGGGGATTGGTTTAAGGGAAAGCTTGAAGGAAACACTGATAAACATGATGCGAAAATCCATGGAACATCCGCGGAACATCCATGGAAGAGCCTCCAGTCTTTCCCAAGAAAACCAACTACATTGACAAGATGAAATGGGGATTCAATCATATCGCGGGTGCTGCAGGAAGATTTGGCGATTTTCAGGACCGGGACCTGGGTCATAGCGGTCCATGAGGAAATGTTGGATGATTATGATCGTCATTTCCAACCCACAGCCAGGTTTTTTTCTTTTCTCTGAGCATCAATGGGTTTGTCCATAGACGAAAACAGCCAGATGATCCTGATAGACACAACGGAGATTTCGATCTGGGACATTTTATACACCATCGATGGTTTGTCATTGGGATGGCCGCCATGGCCAGTGGGATTCACCAAGCTTGGGCCTTGATCTGCCTCAGGGGATCCGGGACCTATCCGCCGATCCCGCACCTTGAAGTGATGGTCTTCCATGCAACACATGGTCTCAAGGTCGTGATAGCCCGCCATCTGGTGACCGGCCAAGGGCTACCCGGAACATGGTCACTCCTAACACAGTAGGCTATCGGCTATGGCGGTCTCCTCAGTTCCTTAGACTATCAACGAATCAACAAATAGTCCGCTTTGGAGGTTCACCACGATTTCTCCTGCAACTGCTCAACTTCCCAGAATGGAAACAAATCATAACAAATCTAGGGTCCCTGAGAACACCAAAAAAAAGGGAACATGTCTGAAATGTCTCGGGACCCCTAGTAGATCACGAGTTTCCTTGACAAATCTACTAAGTAGGAAAACGCGGAAACTTGATGTTTATATACCTACTCTACCCAAATTTGAGAAAATATGGTCGTGTCCAAAACAACATATCCCACGGTTTGATGGTCAATTTTTTCCTCATTTGGGGCCCATCCCCAGTTCCTGAACAACTCCCCATATTGCTCGCCATACCATCACATTGTTGGTTGAATCATGAACAGTTTGCAGAACATCCAATATCATCTTACTTTATATATAATATACGTTGCACATATAATATGTCCATGAATTTTCCACTATATCCCAACTGATCCCAAGTATATCCCCAACTCTATACAGCCCTTGTCAGGATTTTTCGCCTGTAGATGCTTGGCGTACTGCATCAGCCCAGATTCTTCGAGAAAACTCGTCACTGGCCCACCAGATGCACCCTGGCGACACTCCGCTGGTGACGACATAGGAGGCATTTCTGAAAGAAATCTAAAGGTTTTACACTATTCTAAGATGACAGTAAGGTGTGAAAGGGAAAACTATATAGATGTATACAATGGAAGTATATGGATACAATTGTGTATCAATTCACTAGCATCCGTTTAAATCGTTCTTACTATTGATTGCATACTATTCTGCTGGCCTTTGCATTCTTGTATCAGTCTCGATTGTTCGTTTGTTCGTGCGTGTGATAGATGCAGCGGCACATGTCTGTGCGAAGAATCGGTGAGACACACTCTGACCGCAAGTGGGTGAAATACAGAGGGCTTCTGCTGGTTTCAGAGGATATTCAAGGCTATTTCATGGTATTTCATATCCTACGAGTCAAAACCCTTCAAAACCCTACCTTAGATGGTTTTTCTGGATGTTAACTATTAAATCTGGATGTTTATATCCCCAGTATTCCCCAGTCATCTGGTCATTTCATATAGGTAACTTGACCCATGGCTAAATCCTTGGTGAACTCCCCAGAGAAGCAACCCAGGCCTCACTTCCTCTCGGCCTCACCTTGGCGGTTGTAGTTCTGCTGGCACCATGGATTTTCTTGGTCAAGACAAGACAGAAAACCACACTTATGCTTCACATATGCTTCACATGTACTTGTTTTTTTTTAATTTGGGGATAATTTTTTCCCTTGGGATGTGGAAAATCAAATATCTTGACTCAGCAGTTTTCGACCATTGACAGTGAGGTTCTGGTCGTCCCAGTTTCTGGATGCTGGCTATCACCCTCAACTGCCGCTCTGGTTCACGGTTTCTCCATGTTTCTACATGTTTCTACTGTAATAGGCCAGCCATTCCCCAGACCTTTAGCTTCCCACCCCCAGTTGCACCAGTTGTGCTTCGAGTTCGGCCACTCGTGCTCGAAGTTCCTGCCGCGTCTTGGACTCAGGGATGAAAAAACCCTACATCAGTCGAACACCTTGATATATACATACTACATAATATATCATATACGTAATTTATATATTTATATATCTATGGTAATCTCCATGCAACAAAAAGACACACAAACTTTATCACATGTTTTTCTGGGATTCTATACCTTTCCTCCATCGTTCAAAACGTCTCGCCTTCTGTGCATCGGAATCCGCCGCTGCCACTTTCTCCACGAAGTTGCTGAAGCCGCTGCGCGGCATGTCGCGGCACGCGATCTGAAGGGAGATCTTCCTTTGAGGATTTTGAGGATGGATTCTGAATGGATTCGATGGTTCCAAGGGTTTTTCGTATGCTGGGCTCATAGAGCTTGATGTGCATAATTGCAAAGCATGAGAAGCATGAATGCATCAACTGAAAGTGTCGCTCCCAATTTGGCCCGAAGTTGGTCAATTTTGCCTAGGTGCTGATCTTGAGCCAGCTAGTTGGCAGTGAACTGGTAACTACAGTTTCTCACTCATTAAAGTATATGAAAGTGAGTTTGTCTGTGAAAGACGGCAATCAATGCGCAAATACGTGCAACATTCTGCAACATTCCGCAGCTATTCTTGAACAGGCTTCATGGATTGATTTACTGAGATGGTTAACCAAGTGCTACCGCAGCCGAAAAAAAGCTTAACAACTGCTGGTTACCCTCTCGTTTGTTCAACATAGCTATGGAAAATTGCCCATTTGTAGATGACTTATGATGATTTTAATGGATTTTACCTATTGAACAATTGTGGTGTTCCGGTGTTCCATAGTAACGTTGAATAACCAGAAGGTAATAGCTACAATCAAACCCTGGATATCTATCTCCTCGGGTTCTCCATCCACTTACCAACCAGTTGGCTGAATACCCTCCAGCAAACTAACACTTTGCTAAGCCATGGCCCATTTGAGTTCAATGATTTGCAGTACCACAATTTACCAACTCAAAATGGTGATGTTCCAGTTCGCAAAGTTTCAAATTACCACCATATGCGACAATCCCTAATAAATTTTGCATTACATTCCAATTTCTTGATGTTTAACCACCATGTTTCCAATTCATCGGTATACATCGAAAAAAGCATGTCCCGGCCCCGATTCGCGAAGCCAGATTTTCTTAGCAAAGGATCAGGTCAAAGCTACCAGAGACGGTCTCACCTGGCTGAAAAAGGACGTGGCACTGGAAAATCCCCCAAGTTTTGGCGGGAAAAAAGTTGGAAGAACATCATCTATACAAATCGATACAAGGGGGATTTTCTAGCCACATTTAAGATTAACCATGATTAACCCGGCGCGAAAGTCCAGCAATTCCACCATCAAAAGTAGCACTCGCCTTGATATGCCTTGATAGTCTTGGAGCCACCGGGCATCAGTATTCAAAAATCCCATGGGTTTTGACATTTATCAATAACTTCCGTGGGTTCCTAGACTCGTCGTTTTTCCACTTTAAATCCAACACTTAGCCTAGAAACCAACCGAACTCCGTGGTCGTTTGCGGGACCCATCACCAGTTTTCATCAGCTTGAGCTCGGTTCACATGTGACTCAGCCGCCTGGTTGGAGGATCACCTCGCAAGGTGCCAAGGCCCTGAAGTGCAGCACGTCGCCTGGGATTTGAATGGAAAAATGATACTTTGGACCATCTATTTACCCTCTAGATTTAATGGGATGTCATGGAATTTATTGGGATTGATTTGGATTTACTGGGATTTAATGGGATGTCATGGAATTTATTGGGATTGATTTGGATTTACTGGGATTTAATGGGATGTCATGGAATTTATTGGGATTGATTTGGATTTACTGGGATTTAATGGGATGTCATGGAATTTATTGGGATTGATTTGGATTTACTGGGATTTAATGGGATGTCATGGAATTTATTGGGATTGATTTGGATTTACTGGGATTTAATGGGATGTCATGGAATTTATTGGGATTGATTTGGATTTACTGGGATTTAATGGGATGTCATGGAATTTATTGGGATTGATTTGGATTTACTGGGATTTAATGGGATGTCATGGAATTTATTGGGATTGATTTGGATTTACTGGGATTTAATGGGATGTCATGGAATTTATTGGGATTGATTGGGATTTAATGGGATATATGATGGATACCCTCTGGTAATCGAAGGTGGCAATGGAAAACCTACTAAAAAAAAAATGATTTTCCCAGTTACAAGCATCCATTGGGTTCCGGGATTTTCCGACAAAAAAAGGCGTCAGCCATCAGAATTGGTGATCTCAATGAATTTCTAATGGATTTTAGTCGATTTCTCCACCTCATTTTATGTAACATTAACATGGTTTAACTGTTTAAACCACTAACATGATGTTTTGAGGAGGATTCCACCATCAAAAGAACACATCACGAATGGTGGAATTGTCATAACCTTGCCACAGAGAATGATTTGATAGACTGATTTAATAAAGCATCCAAAAGGGAGATTTAGGCGATAAACATCTATAATATTCTATAATATCACATTCAATGGCTTGATTCAAGAGGAACATTCTTCCACTATAATTGCGTGAAATCACTACAAGACGACGAGACTGTCCAAAGACAGATGCACCGAAGCCGCAACACAACGTGTAGTTCCTAGGAGAAAATTCATGGCAGGTTTCAAGGAGATGGCTTATGATTTGATGGCATATGAAAGAGAGATACCCTGGTTGCTGGATCTGATCTCCGATTTGTAAGGTGCTTGCTTGGGGGATGGGCTTACAATTTCCGTCTACACTCAGAAAGTATATCACCTCGACACTCTGATTTGGCTTTGTCTGAACATAACTGGTTGGTGGTTGAGCCACCCCTCTGAAAAATATAAGTTCGTCAGTTGGGATTATGAACTTCCCAATATATGGAAAATAATCCAAATGTTCCAAACCACCAACCAGATAAGGTACCCAAAATTCCCATGGTTTAATCCAAAGCATCTTCACCTTTCAAAGCATCCATTGAGTACGTCCCCAAACATATGTGCACATCACTGCACCATCAAGTGGCTGGGATGATCCCCCCATAAGACATACGGATTCCATCAGATTCCAGTGGATTTCCCAAAAAGGGAAGATTTTACCCAGTTAGCTCAGCAAACCCAGAGGCACCCCTGGCATGGCACCTGCTAATGCCAGTTTCACCTGAGAAAAGCCAAAAGTTTCGAGCTTGGTGCCTCAACAGCTGAAGGGTCAACCGTAAAAATGGCCCAGTTTAATAGCTCAAATGGGGGTTTAACAAACCAAACATGTTCTTGAATCAACAAAGATTGTGCTCAATCAGCAAATTGTTGGTTTTACCAACAAATACTTGGGGTTTACCAACCCAAAATGGTGTTTAACTAACAAACAATGGTGTTGAACAGCTGTTATTCAACATCCAAAGTGGTGTTTAACCAACCAAAGTAGGTGCCTATGAACATAGCGCATAAACTTCGAATTAACTACAATTTCAACAGGGAAAATTAACGCGGTTTGAAGGTCCATTATTTTCAACCAGACCCAAAATTGTCTTTAACCAGCAAACATGTGGGCTTCGCCAGTGGCAAGGGGTTGAATTTGCTTGCCTTGCCAAACTGCAGATTCAAAAAAAAGACATGGCTGGCAGTTTAAGCCCCGAAGGTATGCTCCCAATCTGCCAATCATCATCAAAAGCAGAAAAAAATGTGATTTTCCCGTCAAGAATGGTGATTGTCCATTAAAAAATGGTGATTTTCCATAGGAAATGGACATATTGACTTAGGCCTGGGCCGCCCAGAAGGATTCCGTTGGAGGCGTCCACCGGCTCGGAAGGGACGTGGGTGCCCTGGACATGGAATGAGCTGATGATTCCAAGTGGGAAAAGCCATGGTGCGCAGGGGTCAAGGGACCACTTTATTTTGGGATCTATGAAATCTATGAAATCTATGAAATTTGTCTTGGAAAAATCATTTTTTGCAGATCCGATCTGTTTTTTGTTCACCTCCTCTGGGTGTGATGTTGGTAATCATCTTGGCACTTGCCCCAATTTCCCTTCAGCTACGAGACTAGACAGGTGTCCGCCAGCCTGGTGACATCTCAGACTTCCCTGCAGCCCGGCGTGGGGCAGGTGCAACCTGAGGAGCAATCCAAAATTCAGTGCAAGATAAGGGGGGGGGCTTCCGAAGTCATGGGGGTCCCCCTAAATCATCCATTTTATTTTTGGATTTTCCATTATAAACCATGCAGCTATTGGGGATTCCCCATTTATATCCATTTATGGAAAACCCGGGCTTTCTTGCTTATCTGGGTGGCAAAGATGGAAGGCGATTTTAAACTCCTTCGCATCAGGTTGAAACGATATGAACCGCTGGGCTCAAGCGGCTCAAGGACCGATGAGGCATGACCACAGCGTCACTGGGCTCTTAGCCCTGGGATCCTTCACAGGAATCACGCCTGCTTGGACGCCTTGACGTATGTAGCATGGGAAGGGGTAGCCCAGGCAATAGAGAATAAAGTCCCGGGCATCCAGGAAAAGGCACAAAGAGATCACATATTTTTCGAAGGTCACAAATTTTTCAGCATGTCCATCTAATCCATCTGTTGTTTTCGGGCTCCTGGTTAGCAACCACAACAGCACTGGCCCAAAGGTCACCAAATGGCACAAACCCAAAGCTCTGGTGTAGGGGATGTGTTCATCCAGTTTCCGTACCACACACATTGCGGCCATGCGTGCAGAGAAGATGGCTGCAGCAGGTTTGCAACCGAGCAGGGCAAAGATGAAACCGCCAATCCACTGTGGGAAACACATGATCGGTGCCCAATTCATGACCAATCTGGCTGTGACACTCCCAACTTTCCTACATTTTTTCAATCCATCACTGTGATCCCTCACAATGACCACCTGACTTTCTAAAATCCATGTCAGGAACTGCAATACCATGGCCCTATGCGCCGGGGTTCTCAAACTTCAAACCGTCTTGAGCCCAAAATGATCTTGCACAAAGGATCATTCACAATGGCTTCAACATACCATTAAATATAATCGAAGGAAGGTTTAGAAGTCAAACTTCCGACAATATGGACAGATGAAAAGCAGAGATGGGCAGAGGCAGAGAGAAGAGAAGAGCAGAAGAGAGAAGATCAGAGAAGAGAAAGAGTCAGAAGTAAGAAGATACAGGTGCGCGAAAAGGTAGGAAAGTCGCGAAACACTGTGTTTTTCTAATGATTTGTGGCTCCGGAGGGTCGAAAAGTAGGCTCGCTAAAGCGGCGGGTGCGGAGCCATCTGGCCAGATGAGAGATGAAAAAGTGCACGCCGTTGTGGTGCGAAGCACATTTGTAAGTGAAAAAACTCAAAACACCTGACGTTCGGACCACTTTTGCACTTTTGGAAGTTGCGATGTCGAAAAAGTGCACGCCGTTGTGGCGCGAAGCACATTTCGAAGTCAAAATGTACAAAGCACACCAGGGTCGGACCACTTTTGGAAGTTGCGATGTCCAAAAAGTGCATGCCGTTGTGGCGCAAAGCACATTTCGAAGTCAAAATGTACAACACACACCATGCTCAGACCACTTTTGGAAGTTGAGATGTTGAAAAAGTGCACGCCGTTCGCGAAGCACATTTCAAATCAAAATGTACAAAACACACCACGTACGGACCACTTTTGGACATTCAGATCTCGTTTCACGTGGCAGGCGCAAGGGATTGTGCACCTTCTCAAACGTGAACAAAACGTGAGGGTTTTGTAGCATTTCCAAAAACGATGGCAGGCGTGGGACATTTGAAGAGGATCTGCAAAGATGCATTTGTGGCAGGCGCAGTACAAAAGACATGTTCATGAGAGATGTTAGGAGGTCAGGGCGTTGATTTCCTGAGAAGGGTTGCACTTTGGAGCATCAGATCTGTAGGTTTGCTAAGATGATTTTGCGTGACAGGTGCAGCACTTCGTATGACCTGGCATCAACTTTTCGTGGCAGGCGCAGTACTTTAGACAGGTGGAGTGGAAAGATCGCAAAACGCATTGGTACGAGGCTGTCAGCGCTGCACTCAACTTTCCATTTTTGAAGGAAGTGTCGCAGAATTGCTTTGTTTTTGATGTTGTCAAGTGTGAGAAATGAAGAAGTCTCGCAGAATTGCTTCGTTTTTGAAGTTGTTAAGTTCAAACATGAAGGAAGTCTCGCAGAATTGTTTCGTTTTTGATGTGGTCAACTTTAAAAAAGGAGGAGGTCTCGCAGAATTGCTTTCTGTTTGATGTGGTCAACTTCACAAAATGAGGAAGTCTCGCAGAAGTGCTGCGTTTTTGATGTTGTCAACTTGGAAAAATGAAGACGTCTCGTAGAACAGGTAGATAGGTAGATCCATATGATAGATAGATCGATAGATAGATAGATCGGTAGACAGGTAGATAGGTAGATAGGTAGATAGATAGATAGATTGATCGATAGATAGATAGAGAGATAGCTAGATAGCTAGATAGCTAGATAGCTAGATAGCTAGATAGATAGATAGCTAGATAGCTAGGTAGATAGATAGATAGACAGATAGATAGATAGATAAAGAGATAGACAGACAGATAGGCAGACAGAGAGAGAGAGAGAGAGATAGAGAGAGAGAGAGAGACAGTAGGCAGGTAGGTAGATAATCAGAGAAAGAGAGATAGATAGCTAGATAGATAGATAGATAGACAGATAGATAGACAGATAGATAGATAGATACATAGATAGATAGGTAGGTAGGTAGGTAGATAGTCAGAGAGAGAAAGAGAGAGAGAGAGAGAGAGAGGAGACATCAATCACCTTTCGATCCATCAGTGG